AACAGATATGGGATGGTTGCAGGTCCATTTCCTCAGCATGGTAACTTGGTGGTCTGGAGAGAGCCATGTGTTACTGGGCATCAGATCTAGCCAAAACTGATATCTCGTGGAAGCAAGTGAGCAATTGCCTCCATATCAACCAAGCTATGTGAAGTAGAAGGTGACTTGAAACAGAACTTTATCCAGTCTTCCTCTGTTACAGCACCGGGTAATTAAAGGCATCTGAACCAATAACTGGAAGGAAGTTTCACAGATAGGTATCAAAGACAGAAGCTGGAGAAACATCCTAACCAGGTTCAAAGGGCCTGGTGATATTGGTCACAGGGAAGCTTGGGCGAACAGGCATGGCTATAACACTGGCAGGCTCCCCCAAGAGTGCTCGATGCTGATTCACCTGCACAGTGTCCTCCCTTTCTGTAAGATGGGAAAGCTGCAGCCCTGATGTTGGATGGAGGAGGCAGCCAGAAGCTTCCAGAGCCACTGCACAGCCAGCAGATTTCTTTACCCTTCATCGACTCTGTGGTGCTAAATTATTTACTAGCATCCATGTGTTTTGCAGTCCCCCGTGCCATAATTTCCCAGTTCAAATGAATTAGAAATTACTCTTGCAGCAAGCCTTAAATAACTGACTACAGTGCACCATAAAGTATATATAACTTCTTAGGGACAAAATCCTGCCAGATATTAAGCTTAATTCTATTAATTACCATCTAAATACAGCACGAACACTGTGATAAATGTCAAATATGGCAGTAAGGTAGGAATGAGAGTTATTTTTGTAAAAAGGGAAGGCATGCATCCAAAAGGATAAAAGAACATCTGAAGTACAGAGAAATGGGCAGTTTCACTCTCGTTCAGTAAGCTACTTTTCTCTTGTCCTGTAAATTGCACTAAAAATGGGAGGTTGCCTGCAAAGGCCCTCCCCCACTTAAGGAGCATATTAAAATCAGGGAATGGGGTGGAAGTTGAATTCTTTTACATGGCCTGCAGTCGGTCTTTACATCATCTTCCTATACTCCTACTTCATATCTCATTCCCTCAAGAGGCCATAAATTTTATTTCCCTCAGATTTGAATGAGCCTTACTGAAGCTCTAAGATACCTCACAGAGCTATTACTTTCCCAGTTCCTCAGTGAGCAGTTATGTAACTGGTAAATGTATCAGGTCTAATGATTTCTCTGGTGAGAGGCACCACTATTAATCCCCCGAAAATTTTGTCTAGTACTATCATTCTATCCTTACAGAGGAGCAAAAGGGTTGAAACAAAGCTGCATAATCAAATAAAACTACATGATAACTTCAGCACTTTCTACTTCAGGCTGCCTGTGCAGTCGCTTGGGAGTTCAGCTCATGCAAAACAAGTAGCGGACTCTTGGCCGGCACCGTTGCAGAGCGTGTGGCTGGCTTCATGTAATTGCTGGGGCTCCCAGATCATTCCCTGCTGGTTGGTTTTTACCAGAGAAAACTCAGGCTGCTGGTTTTTACCAAAGAAAGCCCAAATGGCTGGATGTCAGGTTCTCTGAAAGGCTGTCTTCTCTTGCATGTGTTTGCCCGGCCACAGGCCCGTACCCCCCGCCTTCAAAGTCCTGGCTTTCAGGGGTTGTCAGACTTGCTTTGATTGGGCTCCTGCCAGCATGGTTCACTCTGCTGCTGTTCTGCTTCTTTTCCCTTTCTGTTATGTGCTGTCATTTATTGTGATTTTATTGTGCATTGTCTTTTAACATTGTTGCGTACCTCTGTAGTGGCCTTTATCAAAATAAATAAAATATATTAAAAAAGCAAACAGGGATGTGATGCTCTTTTATTTAAAAACATACATAAACAATACAGTGGTGGAAGGAAAGTCAACACTGACCTGTGTAGTCGTGGAACCAACTATCTTTGTTCGAGAGGAGAAAGCAGCCCACAAGTGAGGCTAATAAATGCAGTGATTGTTTTTGTACATTGCTATTCCGTATTGTCAAACCACATATTTCACATTATTACTTAGCTCTGTTCATCTGTTGCATTAGTTAACTTGCATAGACTTTATTTATAAGCACATCTCTAATGTTAATTTCTTTCACTGATTGGAATTTTCATGACTCAGTTACAAAAAGAGCATTTTCAAGGTTGGCAGTAAATATATAAATATGCTGTACATGAGAGCAGGATAGCACTTTTTCAATCTGTTAGGTTTGACCAGATAGCAGCTTCTATACTTTCCACACAAGAAATGGTGTCCTTTTTGGCTATAGTAAACTGTATTCTTTAGCTTCTAAACTTTGAGCTGATTTGTCACTATATAGACTTGATTATGAAATATTATCTTAACATATTTTCTGATTCAAGTGGTCATTGTTGTAAACAATGCTTGTAACAATAGAAATTGCTTGTTTTTGTCATTCATTTGTAAGCATAAGGCAGCTGTTACACACCAGCCCAAATCAGGTTGCAACAAGTTTCAAATAACCTTCACCAGAAAAAGGTAGCAAACTGGTCTGTTGGTTTGGATCTGCCATGCAAGATGGAACTTCAGCTACTCTGATACAGGATCATCTAGCTGCCTTCAGCGATGCACCGCCACCTCTGAAGGCTGCCTGGCCCACTGTCTAACTGCTCTCTCCAAGATCTGCTTCCCTGCTCTTTCTGCCCATGTGTTCCCTCCTGTCCTTGGGAACAGCGAAGGACAAGTCTGCTCCATCTTCTGAATGGCTGCCATCCAGAAATGTGGGCACTGCTCTCATGACTCCGCGTCAATTTCTCAGGACTAAACATGTTCACTTCTTTAACTGTGCCACATAAGGAGCACTCTGGCAGTGCAGCTGATCCACTTGGGCAACTCTGGCCCCACTGAACCGCAGTATCCTCTGTCCCCCGCTGGTCACCCAGGTTGTCTTAGCAGAGGCATGGAGAGAGCAAGGAAGCAAAGTAGCAGAAACGTGTCATACAGTATTTTGCACCCTGGGCAACCCACTGCAGCAAAACTGGGGTAGGCAATGGGATTCCCATGGACATCCATGTGCCCCTGCACTTTGGGGGGCTCACCAAGGTGCCCTGTGCTTCTCACTTTAAGTAACTTTTTTGCCAGCAGCTACATTTACTTGCTTATTTATTATTTTGTGGTGGTGCTGAAAATTGTGCTGGCAGGGAGTTTCTCAAGTTGCAAAATGTGCTCATGGCCTGCAAAATTTCTTATCCTGACCTGTGCCCAGGTAAATTCCAGATCTACCAAAGGATGTGAAGGCGGCTTCCTCCTCCCCGTCCTCCCAGCAAGGCCATGCGCATGCTTTCACATTGTCAGCTGGGGAGCCACGGTGGGCATCTGTGAAGCAGGAGCCAGCTGTTGGGTTGGAAGCTCCCCAAGAAGGAGTGGCCTCCAGCAGCAGTTTGAATCCTGGCAGAGCCCCAGCCAAGCCATACCTAGGATTTCACGAGGTTACTTCAAGTTACATGTAAATACAGTGATTGATGATTTGTCAATCTGAAACATCCCAGTGTTCCATTCACCCAGGAACCTCTCAAACAGCTGAAGAGAAGGCGTCAAAATTTTATTAGGCAACAAGTTCCAATCATGTAATTTCTTCCTTCTTTTCTGCCCAAGCAAAACCAAAAAAATGGTCACAGTTCAGCTGTGCTTAAGCCCATTGGAATCAATGACTTTTGTCACTTTGACTGGGCAAAATATAACACAGGGCAAGAAGGCAGACAATTTTATGCAAGAAATAATAAGCCAAAGCTGAAAGCACCCATGTTTCTCTTGGGTAAATGCAAGTTCATGTCAGTGGCACTCTGTCATCTGGTACATAATGTTCATGACCCATCACGCTTTCTACATTTTACAGCCTCTGAAAAAGTTATCAGTCTTGAGTGAGTTTTCCTAAGTGATGTTGCAGGGGCCGGGTCAGGACCCCTGAATGTCAGGCCCCCATTCAGTCATTAGGCGTTGCAGGCAGTTCTAAGTAAGGTCCTAACAGTGGAGGCCAAGCTACTCACAGCAAAAGCATTGGCATTCACATATTAAAATGTCAGCATTGCTTTTCTTTTGGTATGTAGAACAACATGAAAGTTTTACAATATCTTATTTGATGGATTTGGTCCTATAACCATCATCTTTCCATGTCTATTAAGTCTGAGAATTACTGGAACACACAGTTACCATTTAACAGAAATACTTTTAGCAATATCTGCATCTCCATTAGAAATCCAGATTATAGAAAGAGTAGATTTTAGAGCAGGTATTTGTAACTAAAGCATGGTAAAATTAGAATTGCGTAGACTAAGACTGCAGGCCACCTATATTTGGCTCCAGATTCTAAATGGGGCACTGTCATAACTGTGAGCTCAGTGAGCTCAAAAGAAGGATACAAGACAGATGGGTCCCGATGCAACGTTCTTTCTTGTATGTGGGTACTGCTCCACCAGGGGGTTGCCTACATCCACTTGCATGATGCACATCCATCAGATTCAATAGGACTGACGAAGGACAGATCACTTAAAGATGGGTGTGGAGAAACATCATGTCACAGCATGTAACCTTGCTACCGCTCTGCAAATGCTGTATTTATACAATCTGTAAGAAGTTCCACGTGCACAGTATTCACTATTCTACTGAACAAATTGCAACCGGATTATGAACATGAGCCACGAACAGTCCTGCTGGTGGATTTGGTGCTGCCCCCTCTTGTTCGTCCAAGGCGAGTGCTGCTTTGGGGAACGGACTGATGATACTGCCATGAACAAAAGGAGGGCTGGCTGGGTGACAATCTCCGTGAGATTTGTTTTTGAAAGAATGATGAACAGAGTGTGGATTTACACATTCAAAGAGGTAAACAAAATGGTTACATTTGGAAGTGTTCTTCCAGTTAGCATAGGGGAAATGCATGCTATAAGTGACATCAGAAGGAAAAACAAAAACAGTAGAATGAAGTTTCCATAATCTTAAACTTATATGTAAATGAAGTATTGAGAAGAAGGGCCAAAACTGTTGGCTGCTTGGGTAACGGATCGTTTACAGGATTTCATGCACTGTCCACTTGAGTTTCATCAATCACTTCTGACTTGTTATCTGTAGATACTGTATATAGCCTGTGGGAAGAAATCAAGTCGTATCATATGGCATCATTCTTGGAAACTATTGAAAGCTTGTTTCATGCCAGGTTATTTCTGATATTTGTTTAATTTTTAACATATACATAAAACATATACAGTTCTGGAAGCAGATGGAAGGACAGGCACTCCCTTGTCCGCCTCCACTGGTTTTGCATCAAGATCTGAGCACAATCAATAAAAGATAAATAAGCAAATTATACGTGCAAGAGACATGCATTTTTGTGGTGAATGTGTGGGTGGAAGGGAAGGAATTTCCATTTGTTATACATGCACCTCTTTTGCACTTAACATCAGAACCATGAATGACTGGGGCTGCCACCATCTCTCCCATATCTTTTCAGAGATGGACGTCAGTCACAAGAGAATTCATGGCTCTTTCAAAAATATGCAGAAATTGCCCGCTCCCTTAAAACATGCCTGGGTTTCTTCAGGCTGTCTTTCTTCTGCAGCGGCTTAAGATCACCTGGCCGGCAACAGGCAGATTTGCAGTCAATGACCTGATAAATCACGGGATTGTACATGGCTGCAGATTTTGCAAGCAAGGTTGGTATCACTGATACTTTGATGGGAACGGAACCAGGTCTCCCAAACGCGGACCACACCGAGACGACTGCGTATGGGATCCAAGCGAATAAAAATCCTGTGCAGATCAACATCGCCACCTGGTGTGAAGAGACAGTTGATCAAGGGTCAAAATTCTTGCTTAACGTAATATACTATTTCAAAGTATTCACACAGTATGTGCTGCATTGCCAGAGCAGTTCTTCTGAAATATAAAGTAGAATGGCGAATAATCCATAGACCCAATGTATAAACTGAGTGAAAACCAGTACTTATTTAACTTGTAGGCATTTATATTTAGAACCATTTCCATGCGATATAATTCTATTTTGTGAGAAGGCATTTCTCCTTAATTGCAAGAAAATAGCAGTGCAAATCAGTGCATGACTTGTGCACTGTCAGCCCTGTCGGTGTGCGTTTTTCTGCAGAAGTATGAGAACCACTGCTCTGGCTTCTCTTCACACCGTTCCAAGCAACAATGGAGGAGCCAAACAGATGGAACAGATCACAAGATTCCTTCCCACCCAAGCCTTGCCCTCTTATCTTACCTATTGGCATCCGGGAGAAGCAAGAGGTCCCTGCAAATCAGGCAGATCATGAAGGAGGGTTCACCCCCACTTCAGTGTCTTGCCCAGCACAGCTGCAAATCTACCACTATTCCACATGTAGCAGTGGCATTGGCCCTGTGTACCTTTGGGGAGTCTTTTTCATACCTAGTTGTGGATATTCAGAAGAAAAAATGTTTCCTGGTTTTTTTTATTTCATATTCTGTAGCCAGGTAGTCAAAAGTTTTGTTAGCATTTTTACATGTAGCTTTTTTCTCTCCCAGCCACTTCGACTGGCCCCATCACACACATGCAGTTGTTTAATTGTTTAAATGATTAAATAATAAATATCTAAGACAGAAGCAAAGGCTTTTATAATAGGCAAATGTTCCCTAGAATTTACGCTGGATACCCATAGCATCTGGGAAGAATTCTCCCCTCCCTCTCTTAAATTCACACTAGAAGCAAAAGGGCAAGGAAGCAAAAGCCAGGCCGAGAGTTAGCAGGAGCCTCCACTTGAGCCAGGACGTCTCCTCAGAACTTGCTTCAGCACCTTCTGGGGCTGAAAGGTCTCCTTCTCATGGGGCCGGGAGTGTCACTGAGTATCCCCACACCCTTACAAATCCTTCTCCGGGCAGTTGCTGCACTCTTTGTGAGCACACATGTGTGTCCAGGACTTAGAATTAAAAACACCTACTTTTAGAGCTAATCAAATACAGTGCAGCCAACATTATAAGTTAATTTAGAGCTCTCAGGTAAGAGGAGGGAGGTTTGGGGGCGTGGCTAAGCCTATTACTGGCAAACCCTTCCAGAATCACTACTTTTAAAGGCAATTTCTAGTACAAAACAAGTGGGTTGCTGCAGTGCCTTATCTGTGGAGCTGCCTTTGGAACAAGGCTGGACATTTCAGCTGGTCCAGAAGAGAACTGGGAAATCGTTGACATTGCAGTGTATTGACATTACAATGATGCTTTGTGGACTGCAGTAGCTGTCTGGGCCCAAGGCAAGGTGCTGACATTAAAACCGAAAGCCCTGCCTGGGCTGGGCTCAAGCCCTTGAGGGACCTCCTCCTCCTCCCACAATGCCTGTCTGGTCATCTCCAGTGGCCCCCCCTTCACCAAAGAGGCAGGGGGGCTCCTAAGGGGAAGGCCTTTCCAGGGGCAGCCTCCCAGCTCATCTGGCCCCTGCATTGTGTTCTTTTCTGTACCATGTGATGTTTTGGTTTTCCTAGAGTTTTCCATTTTTCAGGTTTATTCTTTAAATATGTGATTGTGTTTTTAGATCTTTATGCAGTCATTCAGCTTTTCTTCCAATTTTTACTTTGGTTTTATTCTGCATTAAATGTGCAATGGATTTATATTACGTTTCATGGCATTGTTACTTCTGATTTTAATTTTATGAATAATTCTGAGAACTCGTCCACTGGGGAGTACAGAATTTAGTGAACAAACTCACAGCAAAACCCAAACATGCTTGCTGCTACTAGCAGTTCTGGGCAAAACCTTTCCCGGCTGCAAACTTGGTTTGCCCTGACTGTGGCCCAGGTCCTGCTTGCCTTCCTCCCACAGTGCACAGATGCTCTTCCTGCACGTTGCCTGACTTGAGCCCTGCTATAGGTTCAGCCAATCCCTTCCAAACCCCACTGGGCATCCTCCACCTACCTTAGTTAACTTCATTTCCAGTACATGGCTGTTTTGAATCCTCGTGTCATAATGAGCTACTTCTTTGGCAGATGACTTGACTTTTGCTATTATTTTAACATACGAAAACATGATCACAGCAGTTGGGAGTAAGAGACAGAAGAAAAGGATACTCAGGATAAAGGCCTGCCCAGCCACTGAACCCTGAGCCAGCCACCAGTCCAGCGTGCACGAGGTCCCGAATGGCTCAGGAGAATAGTTCCCCAGGCCAGCAAAGGGGATCGTTGCCCAGAATGTTGCATAGGACCAGATTATTCCTAAGCAGATGAAAGCATGGTGCCTCTTCAGCCAGGTACCTAAAAAAGAACAAGCATCTGTTGTGAGTGCTGGTAAAGTCATGCACGGACGGCGCAGCAGTGCTCTGATATAGAAAAGGCTGAAACCGACTCTGTAATTCCAGGGAAACAGTTTTGTGCTGTGCCCACCCCCTTTTGCTTCACCCAAATGCTTTGCTGATTCTCTGGTGTGTTCCCTTGGGAGCCAGTTGCCAGGCAGAATGGGACTTGCAGGGAGACCTTGGCAGGGCCTCCCTGTGAGCCTCTGTGGTGCTGTCACCCCGGCTGCCTCCTGCAGAACAGGCCCTTCAGCGCCATCAGAATCCCGGTGCTGGCCCAGAGAGGAAGGCGCAAGCACTGAGCGGGAAAGTCCAGCTCCTTCGCGGGAACGGATCAGCTGACTGAAGCAGCATCTCCTGTGGGGAGCCCTCAGGTCATGACCGTCGTTTCACCACCACCCTCATGGATGTCACATCTGCTTTGCCCTCCCCCTGCAGGTATTTTCAAAGCCACAGGGGACCCATTCTCTGACAGCTCCTGTGCAGCCCAGAGAATGGTTGTGCATCACAGTTGTCGCAGTGGTGGGGCTCAGCTGCAGGCGCATGGGGCTGATGGCATGGGAGGGGCCCACAGAAAGGCTGGGATCACACGCACTTCCGGTCTCTGGCTCAAAAAGCCACCTGTGGCAGCTTCTCTGTGCCAGAGAGAGAGATTTGGTCTGCAGGTGTTCTTCCTATATCTCTAATTCTCTTGGTAAGTCTTACATTCTTTTCCTAAAAAGAAAAGTATTTGCAAATACTGCAAATTCAGGAGTAGGTCACCTGGTACCCTCTAGATATTTTGGACTACAACTGCCATCATCCCTAGCCAATAGTCCGCAATTATGGAAGATTATCTACCCTGGTCTAATCTATTAAACATGGGTGTGTATTTTTGGATTTATGTTGTGTCATTCTTTTCTGAACAATATCAACTGGGATCATCTTCCTTTAATCCCTTTTCATCTCCTTTATATGTGTAGCAGTATTTCTTTATTCCAGGGTGAACGGCTTTGGAAGCTTTGGGGTCCACTTTTGTCTACCATCAACTGTAATCCACTTGAGTTCCAAAAACAATTTGAAACTTTGTAAAAATGCATTCTTTGTGGCTACAGAGCATGAACAGTTCGAATTAGTTAGTTTGCAGGTTAATTTTGAACCCTTTGGCACTCCATAGCCACGATGGAGACTTTTTTCAAGTTTAAATTAAAAAAAAAAAAAATAGGGAGCAGCAGGAGCTGAGGTGGTGGGCCAGCATTTTATTTATTTATTTATTTATTTATTTATTTATTTATTTATTTATTTATTAAAACATTTTTATGCCGCCCCAGTCGCCAAAGCCTCGGGGCGGCTTACAACATTAAGTTAAAAAATACAACATTAAATTATAACATTACATTAAAATGTTTGTAAAGTACAAACATTAAGTTAAAATGCAAAAAATAACAATATAAAATAAGTCGCCCTGGCCAGATATTACCTACCCCACCTTACCCAAAGCATGCTAATCCAAAATGTTTGTGTGCTGAATTAATTGTGATACTGCAGGTTTGTTTATCTAAATATCTAGCTGTTTTGAACGGTTTTTGGTTGCAAGACCTTTTCTAGATCAGCCGAATGCACATAGATGCGTCCTGTGGTGAATTCTTGGTTGACATTTCTCTGGAAATCTCAAAGATGCAGAAACTGATGTGGTCATTTCCAAGAAAGGAAGGAATAGACATTATTCCACTTTATAACTTACCATAAGATAAATAGCAGATTTTGAAATATCTGTCCAGGCTGACTGCTGTCATGGTAATGAGGCTCCCAATGCCAAAGAAAAACCCAGCCCATCCATACCAACGGCAGCCGCTCCAACCAAAAATCCAGCGGTGAGAAAAGAAGGCAATTATGCTGAAGGGTTTTCCTACCACTTTACAGGAAAACATCAAAGTAAGTTTTCTTAAGCAGATTAGCATACGCGCACACGCACACACATATATAAAACAAGATATAAAGGTGATCCTTCAAGCAGTAATATGGAAGGACTCCCAGAATGTAAATGAGTCTCCATTTTTCATATAAATACATTACATAAAGAACAAAGGAAAATTCAGTTATATGACAAAACTTAAGATTTACTTCCTAATCCATAAAACACAGACCATTATCCACATTTAGGTCAATGAAACATAAAGATCACATTTAACATAAGAAGCTTTAATTCCTAGAACTGATCAGACACAGATAGGATTTGGGGTATAAGGAGTTACTTGGGTTGTAAATTTACTGTTGTTGAAAAAGTGGGTCCCACCACTAAGCAATTTTCTGATTTGCTGACTAGACTAATGACACCCAAGATGGGGGCAATCACTTCACTGGGGAAAAAAACTACTCTTGTTTTTTGATTCGGGGTTGGGTTTGCTGAACTGAGATCCCCATAAACAAAGGATTAACTCTCACCTTCTAAGGAATTTTTTGTATGCCATATAACTGAAAGCTACAATGCTGTTCTCCCAGACCGTTGTCTCTGTGATGAAGAAAACCTGTGCTCCCAGGCAGGCTTCATCATTCTGTGTACGTGTGTGATGGATGCCTTCCTTTTGCTCCCCCACACACATTCATGCCTTTCCCCAGATAAATTCCTTTCTATTTTGGGCATTTGGTTATGTTGCTTTAATAGTTGTTTTCTTCTCACTTTGTTTTAAGGTCCTTGTGTTTGATTTAACTGATCATATTGCATTTCATGCAATCAGGAGCAGCACTACCAGGTTAATCAATGCCAGGGTAAAGCTCCGATGCCCAGGTTTCCTTGTGCTGCTAAGTATTTTCACCACTAAGTGGCATTAATAATAACTTAAGACAGAAGCTAATCAAACTGAAATATGGCTGAGGAAAGTATTCAGGTGTCACTTTATACAGTGCCCATTCACTGGCCTGTTGTTGATGAAGGAGCCATTGCTGGGGGGCTAACAGGCCACGGTGGCTTGCTAGCCCCCCTGCATGCGCCCACGTGCCATAATGTCTGGACCTGGCGAGGGTGGGGGGTGGCTGGGTGGTTAAAATAATCTCTCAGCAACACCCAGCAAGAGCACTTAGAGGAAGGAGGCGGAGGGCACCCAGCATGGCAGCCAACCTACCACTCTGCACATGCAGACTTGGCCAATGTTTACATTCTCAGTCCACTTGAGGTTAAATTACCTGAAATCCCTAGGTCACACACTGCTAAATTGACAGTCATGATCTCAGCAGGCCTCAGCTTCTTCTTCCGTTGTGTAGACATATAAATAACATATCCATTGCCTAAAGTGGACATGACCCCTGCAATAAAATAATAGTAAACAACAAAGAGGTCATGTGTACCGGGAAAAAGATGTTCCCCTGGGATTGAAATAATTTCTACCTCTGTTCAATGGTCTCAAGAGAGATGACCAGGATTTTAAAAACTGGAGAATAAACACAAAGAGAAAGTGTAGGGAACTTTTCCCTGCCTGAGAGTTAATCTTAATAGGGGTAAGGAGGGGCTGCCTGTCAGCCACCGGTGCAGCTACCTCAAATTAGGTATGTGGAGGAATCTGCACTGCAGCTAGGAATATAATGGTTTTCCTGGCGCTGCTCCCCAGTCTCATCCTGCTTGTCAAAGCTGGATTCTGAGTTCCTGGTGACCTGTGCCCAGCATTCATGGGGAACTTGCCAGGATTAGACCCCAAATGATGCTCATGCCGTGTCTCTCTTCCATGCCTTGTGATGCAGAAGAGAGCAGCACTCGTGAAGGGAGCCCCAAGCTGTCCCTCCCTTTTGTGCTATATCCCGTTGCGTTGCGTTGTTGCGTTGCATTGCGTTGCTGCACCACATGTGGAAGGGGGTTGTTCAGGCAGGGCTCACCAGGAATGGAGCCCCACATGAATGCGGAGCAAGCCACATCCTCCTTCCACACCCCCTGCAGCCAGCCTTTGTTCCACAAGTGTTTGCAGATATCCTCTCAGCTCAGGAAACTTTACAAGACCAGGCTGAGGAGAGAGGAAGTCTGAGAATGCCAGAGGGACAGGAACCAACAAGAGTGCCTTCAAGACCACTTGACAGGTGGGGTCAGCCCTTTTATCCACAGTTCAGTCGTGGCTGAGGGAGACATTGGTTTGGACGGACGTGGCCCTCAGCAGCCGGGCCACCGGACCTGAGGACAAACTAATAAGGCAGGCAGGACTCATCTGGTTGGAGGAAGCACCAGAAGAGCAGAAGAGGTGTCGGTGTCTGCAGTCTATGAAGGCCACTGCCTAGTTTTCCCGGTTTTGTAAGACCTTTGGATTATCTTTTTATCGCACATTTGCCTGGCGGATGAATGGTGTGATGTACCGATTAAATAAACAGCTTGGCACAACTCTACTCGTATGCAGAGCGCCAGGCCGGACGGCGTAAGAGCAGGCAGGGCGTAACGGGTAGTGCGGCTGGGAGAGGCCAGGGCGGTCACAGGCACTGAGCCCGTGGGAGCTTCTCAGCACCGGGCCCACAGCAGGCAGCTGGATGACACCCCTCAGTCCAGGACAAAGCCTGACCCTTGCCGGGAAGTTGCCTGTTGCTGCATGGCTTGGCTTCCTGTGGGCTAATAGAGTGTGACCCTTACTGAATACCCCCTCCATTCCCTAGCTCTGCCCTGAGTCTGGGCACAACAGAGAGGCAGCAGGCAGTTTGTGAAAGTTTAAAGGGTTGGGGAGAGCTGCTCACCAAAGTTATCTTAGGGTATTTCCAGTTGAGGCTTTTATTGTGAAATTGCACTGCCTCATGCACAGGATTTGTGTGTGTGTGTGTGGGGGGGGGGGGCGGTCCAGGCATTGTTGCCTCCCACTTCTGATCCTCCTGTGTTTTTCCACTGCTGCTTCTGTCTTTCCTGTTTCTACTTTTCAAAAAGCAGTAGAAGATAGAGTGAGCTGGTTCAGACAATCTGACAGCCCTCCATGAGCTCATAAACGCTTGGGGTGCTGAATGCTGTTGCTCAAGTACCGTTTCCCATTCTGGGCAGCCTAGTTGAAGAACGATATGGGCAAGATGGAGGGGGTTCTTCTTGATCATTCCAGAGTTCAGATCACAGAATTAATAGGCTCACGTTAGAGGAAGCCAGATTCTGGCTCAATATGAGGAAGAACTTCCTGACGGTGAGAGTAGTACAACAGTGAAACAAATGGCTTAGGGAGGTTGTGAGCTCTCCCACACTAGAGGCATTCAAGATACAACTGGCCAGCCATCTGAGAGGGACAGTTTAACTCAGTATCCTGCATTGAGCAGGGGTTGGACCCAGTGGCCCTCTGGCCACTTACAGCTATGCTATTCTATGGTTCTATGAACAGCTACGCCCCAGCTGGAGTTCGCTATGCCTTCTTGAGTCATCTAAACCCAGGCATGGCTATCTGAGGGTTTAACAACGCTCACATGGTCTGTTTTAGGGTTCTACAAGGGTTGAGTTAACGTACGATGGGCTGCCATGTTGTGCAGACTGAAACATTACCTGCCGTTTGGTTGTGCCTCCTGCATCTTGCTCATGGTGGGCATGTCGTGAGTGGAGCTGGCTGGAGCCAGGGGTCAGACTAGATGGCCCGGGAGACCCCTTCTGACTCGCTCTGTTTCTATATTTCTATGTTTCATTTGCTAAGCATGCACTATTGTGCAGAGGGAAAGAGAGAGGAGCTGAAATTGTATCTTTGCATGTACACAGCAATGATGTGAGGAATCCCCCAGCAAGTAAATGTGATTCAGTGTAGCTTTGTGTCCTGCCCTGTGGAAAGAAAGGGAAGTCATCAAGCACTGCTTCCTTCGTGCACAAACTAGTAGCTCTCCCTGGACAGGCTCTGAAATGATCCATGGGGAGCAGGCAATGCTATTCCAAGAGGTTCCACACTGCCCAGACTGGCTCTTCCCGTGATCAGGGCAGCCTGGGCAAAGGGCTTGGAAAGGGACTGCAGGGGACAGGAGGGGCAACTAAGGAAGGGCTGCTCCATCATCAGGAGGACGGTTCAGGTGACTGCTATATCTACTGTGGTTGGCGATATGACTTGCGTGGTAGACGTCGCTTTGCTTGCAGGGGCTGGCTGTGGGTTTGCTGCGGCTTGTGATTTCATGGCTTGGTGCTCTGAGGGCACCTTGGGGCTGAGGGCCTGCTGGTGCCACCAGACCCCAGTCAGATGGCAGTGTGCTGCAGCTAGACTTGCTTATGAAACCTAAGCCATGGTTAAAATGAAGGAAAAACAACAGCGGAGCAGCCTGTAAAGTGCAAGAGGGTCTGAGAAGCCTCTCAGTCGAAAAGGCAGAGTGCCAGGCAAACCTCCTGGTGATGAACTTTCCAGAACCAGATGGCCAACACAGGAAAGGATCAATCAGAGTACACTGTGTGCACAATAAAAATAAATGAAGGGGAAAAAAGAAAAAATGCTGGCGTAGTTCTTTGGGTACCCAGGTTAAAGTGGTTTAGGGTCCTAAAGCTTAAAAAAATAGGGTCAGAGAAAGATAAACAGCAGCAGCAGTTGTTTCACGATTGGTAAGATGTGCACCATTCAGTTGATTCCATACTACTAGAAGTAGCATGTTGAATTTAATTTTAAGTCATCATCAAAGGCATTACAGAAGTTGCATGAGGTGTAAAGAGATTATGTATAGCCACAGCCAAAGTATCTCTGTTTAAGCAATGGGTTGTGCACCAAACTTGGTTGGCACTTATTGCCATGGAAACCACCTGGACTTCCAAGAGTAAGTCCAGATATAACAGCATCTTCAGGCTGTGAATCTGGTATTCAAAGGAAACACAAATGTACCCAGAAAATACTGGGTCTCCCAAATCATCCACCAAGAGTCCTTCCATCTTGTCTGGATTAAGCTTCTGTTTGGGTTCATTATTGGTTCCAGGTCAGCTCTTCCACAACATCACTTGAAAAGTATAGTTGGGCACCAGCCTCACAGCTTCGGCACTAATCTCTGGAAAAGATGGGTTCATCTTTAAGTCCCAAGCTCCTGCCATTGCTCAAATGGCTTCCTTTGCTCCCACTTCTGTATAACACAAGGAAGTGGATGTTTCAAGCCTGAGGGAGAGGGCCCAGAGCCACCAGGGACATCTTCATGGCATCTCCATGGATATAGAATGGGCTTCCATGGGAGGTGGCAGGCCACATCAGTCAGGGCGTTCAAGGAAAGATCGGACAACCACATGTTGGGTATTACATAAGTGGAGCAAGGTCGTGCCAGGGGACAGACTAGATGCTCCGGGAGGCCCCTTCTGACTCTCTATGCTTCTATCTCCATCTCTGTATGACCCAGCCTTTGAGTATGCACATGCCAATTGTAAACTCAGCAATTTGTGCAATTTTGTACAGTTTCACTGTGTACATACCAATCGTTTTCTTTTTCTGTTTTTCATGAAGATGCTTTCCAATCATAGTTAGGCCCAACATAAAAACAAACACCAAAGGAATGAAAGGAAATGCAACAGTATAAGGAAAGCAATACTACATCCAACTCGACAGTTACAGCTGTCAATGAATGATAAATATTTTGTAGGGCAGAAAATGAATGCCTTAAATAAGGTGGATGATGGTAGTTCAAGTGTATAGACATACAGTATAGACTTCATTATTATTATCTATCTCTCTGCTTTTCAGGGGTGGAAATAAGAATGGCCCAGGGGGCAAATCCAGGGGGTTTGTTTTACAGATGAGATTAAAGCACAAAAGAGCATAATCGGATAGGAGAGATGCAGTACAAAAGCCTGTCAGGAGTCAACACAAACCCAAGCAGTTGGATGCTACGGGCCCACTGATGCACATGAAGCACATCCCGGATTTACAGACTGCTGTTTAATCTTAGATCTCTCAGTTTGTTTCACCCAGCTGAGCTTCAGTCAGTCCGCACAACACGCTCACTTACTAATTTCTGCAGCTCTTTTAACCTCCTCCTTCCAAATTCACCTCAGCGCCTATTTTATGGAGGTGCCTGGGGGCCCAGCAGTGCCTGACTAAGGATCAGGCACCGCCTCCACCACCTCCCCACCAGCGCTCTAGCTGTCTTTCCAGGGGATGCTGCCCAGGGGCACAGAGGGGAGTGGGGATGGTGTCTGCTGAAATTGGCCAGGTAACTGGAGGAGGAGGAAGGAACAGAAGAGCAGGGGAGTTTTTAGAGCTTACTCTGCCACTGCCACCCTTATTTTGGCAGAACATTTACTCTGATTTAGGCAAACTGTGTTTGCTGCCCTTCTGCTAAGTCATTCGCTCCAAGTAGTGCTATCTAAAGGCATCACTTACTTCAGGCTTCCTGAATTTTGCCTGCAGCAGTGGGAGTCGTAAGAAGTGGGTAGATTCCCAGCTAGCCTCCAGAAGGCTGATGAGGGAGCTGCCTGTGAAGCATCCTGGCATCTTGAGGCTGGTCTTTTTCTGTGTTGGAGCTGGCTACACCTGACGATTTCTGTTGTGGCTTTTCTTCATGCCACATCCCTGCTGTCTGTCAGGAGACTCCCTAGAGTCCTGCAAGAATGTTAGCCTACCAGGTAAAAGTGAGCCCTTTAATAGAGAATACCTAAGCCTATCTAGATATAACATCAGTGATCCCTGGCCCTTGGCTATTTTTGGAGGGTCCAAGTGATTTGGAAGCCCTACTCTGCTCCCCGGCCCCTGATTACTTGGAGGTGCCGCCACTGATTTGGCTCCGATTGGTAATTCTGTCATGGAACATCACTCGCTGGAACTCAGAATCCAGGGATGCTAATGTGATTGGCCTTTAAGGACATTTGATGCTATTCTCCTTCAAGAGACATAGTGTAGTGTAAAATTAGATCTTAACTGATTTTCTACATTAATGAACTATAGCTGTTGCCTCCATTAGAGGAAGAAGACCATGGGTAAGCTTAACCAATCTGATCTCTACTTCCCTTTAAGCTGTGTCAGGTATCTCCCACACCATGGTCATATCACAAAACTTGCTTAACCAAGTTGGACTGTTAAGTCTCCGACTCATTGTTTCTCCTAATCCTACCATCAATCAATCTAAGCAAGAACGGGGGAAATTAGAAAATTGCATAGTAGACTTTTTTATTTATTTTTTCATTTCATAACTTCCCAGAGAGTCGCAGTTCTCCTCAGCTTATGCCGGGGGAACTGAATGCACAAACTGGGCCAAGCGACAATATTTTGTTCTTATCTCAGCATTAAGGTCTGACTGAACCTGAGGATTATATATTTAATCATGATCGATCTTCTATGGATTGCAGGCTTAACTTTGTGGATGTGTGATTAGCTCAGATGGCCGGTGCACTTGTTGCAAGAATTTTCAATGGAAATCACTTTTTGAGAAAAGTGGGGAACATACATACATCTCGGGAGGTAGCACAGCTGATGGCACAACGGTCCCAAGCAAAGGCTGCTGCATGAGGCACAGAAGAGGGACGCTGCCTGTGCAACGCTGATTCCTGGTGAGCACCACGTGAAGGCTGGGCACAGGCACCACGAACCTGGACCCAGCAGCTGCCTCGAGTCGACCAGAGTCCAGGGGGCAGAACCCAGGGACTCTGTCAGCTTTCCGCCCTTGAACAGATCCTCACACATCTCTGCCAGGCATGTAAGGCAATACCTGTGCAATACCTCCACACAGCCAGTATGACATTTAAAGTGGGCCATCGGTTGTGGCATATGCAGAATTAACATGCAAGGACAGTCCAGGCTATGACTACCTGGTCTGCTAATGGGACACACATAGGGAAGATGCCCTGATCCAGACAAGAGGGTGTTTCCCAGCTGGAGGGCCACAAGATGGGTTATGACTCCATTCAGAATACATTTTGAAATGACTGGGGCTACCTAGCACAGAAAGTGCAGCTACTTTGATACGCATGGTCCCTTCTACTATGTTTTCCCTTAATCTATGAACAACTCAGTTTCAACCACGATCATCAAACCTTCATTTTCAGTGTTACACAATTTTAAACAGCCTATTTAGATATTCAGAGTTAGCAGAATGTCATAGGCTCACTGGAAGATTGCATGAATCTTACCAATTAGCAATAAATAAATTCCAGCTACTATGTCAGCTTCTTTTGGGAGTTTTGATGTGAAAGGGTCTTCATCTTGCTGGTACTGAGGTTCATGGTCATCTTGAGATGAAAAATTTTGCTTTGAGTCCATTCCTGCCACACAGTGCTTAGTATCTGAGAAGCAAGATAAAATGTGTGGATCACCCTGGGCCCAAGGCTCCAAAACCGGAAACTGTTCAGGCTTTCTATACACAATGACAGTATGTCTGTGAGCAGGAGGAGGAGGAGGAGGAGGAGAAGGTTCTCACTTGCTCTGCCTCCTCCGTCAGCACATTCATTGCCGTCTATACCTGGAAAGCACCGCCTGAAAAGGAGATTCCCCTTATCCACGGGGGTCTCCGCACAAACCGGAACACGGATTTTCCAGCATTTGGGGTGGCAGGGGGCAACGAATGCGACGTGGTAGGGGTGGGGCAAGCCTGTCCCCCTCTTGGCAGGCTGAGTAGCCTCTGATTTAGGACTTCTGATCATAAACATTCTAATAAATACCAAATCTTCCTTACTCGTTTACATAGATTCTAGTTTGGAATTGTTTATTCGAATCGCGCTCTTTCAAAATAGCAGGTTAAGGGGCAGACTGAAACATACTAAGCGGCAGAGAAATGACAGGAAGAGCCTCCACTTGCAAAGCCCATGTGCCGCATGTCGGCCAGGGCAGGAAGGAAACGTGCGTGGGGAGAGTTTTACTGCAGACAGATTCTGTGACTCTCGTTTTTTTAAACCCCACTTGAGGCAGTTGATGTAGTTGGTGAGTCTAACCCTCAGGATCTCAAAGGGAAATGATGGGGTTTGGGATCAATCAGATTCAAAGTCACCTCCTCACCCAAGCATTCCCCCAGAACTCCTTGGGGCCCCTATATAATATAATATAAATATTATAAACAGCAATATAAACTGAAAATGATCTAGTGATTGACATCGGGAAAATTTAGCCAATAAAATGCTTTAAAAATACGCCATCTAAACAAATTAAACATTCAAGCCAAAGACATGTGAAACCTGTTTAACCTCATCTGTTTTACCTGTTTTACGCTCCCCGCCCTCCTGATCCATACAGGTTTCAGTACTGATGATTTATTCAGTAGGCTTCAGTCTTTTCACACCTTTTACTCTTTAGACCCAGCCAGCAAAGAAGGGAGCTATTCCGTTGTTTTCACTGCAAAACTCCTACCTTTCTACTCCCTCCCCAGTCCTTCTCCCTCTGGTGAGCTTTCATTCATCTTTCTGTATTCTCTTATCTCAGGAAATGTAAGAAACGAAAAATGAAAAGAAAAATTGTAGTATTTCAATTCCATTCGAAATTGAAAAAATCCGATCTACCTTAAATTGAAACACAGATGAATAGCATATCCCCATCCACCAGCCGAAGATTAATTAACTGTCCTAATCCATTCACATTATATATTTTACATATTATTCCGTTTGTCTTATAGCTAAAGGATAGCTATAAAGGAAGAGCAGGTAAGCCTCAGTGCAGTAAGTAAGCTTGACATTTGCCATGAGCTTTCAGACTGCCTTGCAATTCTCTAGCAGGCATTTCTCTGTGTTACAGTACTGACAGCAAATAGAAGAAATACACAAAATAAAATAGGTGAGCTATTTTGTTCTGCATCAACTTCTGCTTGCACTGGAGTATGCAGTTTTTTGAGTTATAGAACTCTTCAGAAATAGGAAATGTTTACCTGCAGAAGCAAAATCATCATTCCCACCAACCCAAGGTGTCAGATTGATCTTCAGCAGGCCAGATAAATGATGGTGTAATGCAAACTTTTTTGTACTTTTATGCTGCAATCTTACACCTAGAAGTAAATCTCATTTAAGTCAATGGGCTTACATCTGAGTAAACACATATTGACTTGTAAATCAATATAGCAATAGGCTAGCAAGAGGACTCTGTTAATGCATTGTCTTTATTTTAATGTTGACTTAATGTTGTGAACTGCCTAGAGAGCTTTACACATAGAAATGTTACGGGCAATATAGAAATGTAATTAATAGTAATGATGATTTGCAATAAAGTAATCAATATTAATATCAGCTCCTTCTTTGAAGGGTGTTCTGCAGTTTTGTATATTTCTGCTGCTGTAATCAGTGGTACAGATTTGTGGCATACTTTGAAATTATACTTTGATAAGATTCAGCATTGGGCAGGGGGTTAAAAAACATCTAGCTCACTAGGAAGCAAGTCTAAAAGGGAAGTTTTAAAAGCAATCGCCAAGGATCCCTAAAGCATCAGCCATTTTTCAGTTTAGAATTGCACGCAATCTGCATGGTGCTGGTAGCAGCTATCTGAAATTAAGAACCCTCCTATGGATTAAAGCATTGCCCAATGTAGCAAAAGTTAGTCTTGCAATGATTTCAAGTCACAAAGCGTCACTATCTACCTATACACTCATATACACTCCGTATATTTACATTTGCACAAAAATGTCTTAAATGGCAGAAGCTATAGGAGAATCTGGAAGTACCTCAAGTCTTGAGCTTGGCACAGTTCATGTCTCCAGAGCTCTGCTCTTGTCCAGATCTTCTGCTACTGTATATCCAGAGTGCTGTCCTTCAAAGCTGAATATGGCAAAGGTAGTTAAACCTTGAAGAGGGATGGTGGCTATTACAGCCTCCTCAGGCTCACCGCTCTGAATGACGAGCTGCTTCCCATTTGCCTGATGCTGCTTCATCACCCACCCCCACCTCTCGTGGTGCTGCAGCGAGCCTGGCATTCGACCCGTGGAGCTCTTCACTCTCTAGAGTAGCCCAAGCCCTTTGGGGCCTCTCCAGAAACAAGAGGGTCCCGGGGGGGGGGGGGGGGGGGGAGGCAAGTGAGACCATGTGATTTAGGAAAAATGATCATCACTCTCTATTTTGCTTGTGATGAATGCTTTCACAAAGATTTACTGTGTAGCTTAAAAACAATATGTTGAGGGAAAAATCAGATATAAGAGTGGGCATTCCCCTTCGCTGCTAGCTTCTGTCCATGTACAAAAATTGACATGGCTTAAAAAATACACAGTATTTAGTATGTTTGATCAAATGCAAGAGTCAGTGTTACTGAATCCTCCATTCTGGATAATGCTTTTTTATTTCCAGGAGCCCAAATCTGGTTTGCTGTAGATATGTACTGCTTGAGTATGTCAAGAGCTTGATTCTCTCTTTTTGCTCCACAGCAGATCAAGGTGAGAGGCTTCGAACTACATCGATTTAGGTTGCCTAGTTGGGCTTTGCTTTGAATATGGAGTGATGACTTTTTAATAGGAAGCATCCATCAACTTCATAATCCTTCTAATTCAAGAGTCAGTTCTTACCCATACCAGGAGTTAATTCCAAACTGAATTTCCTTCCTCCCTTCCTGAAAGAGTTGGCTCCATCTTCAGGAAGTACGTCCTACTTGTGAGCCACTTGGTGGCAACGCTGGACATTACTCATTATTCTGCCTGTTTGACTTGAGGATGAACTAGTGTCTCCTCTAGAGTCAGGGGCAGTTTAGTTTTTATCATCTGCCCCTCAGTTTCCTGAGTGATGCAAACTTCAGATGAACTTATTAAAGCAAACTTCAGAAGACATAATGTCCATCATTGTGCAAGGCAGAAGTTTTCTTTTCCTGATGGTCAAATCACAAATGAGGATGGAGAATATATCCTTTCACCAGTTTGATCCAATCAGATATTTAATGAAGAAAGGTTGATCTTTCTTCTATTCCTGAAAAGCGATTTTATTTTTACCATAAGAAAAATCCAATGAGAATGAGGAAGGGTAAATGTTTCAAAGAATCCATTAACTTCCACCAGCCTCTTCCCCCCATCTGCCTTCTCCACATGTTACTAGATTAGGGTCAGGTTCCTGAACAGTGCTAGGTTGTGAGGCCAGAAGAATATGATTCCACTTCTCTGTTTTGTCTCAGATCCTCTGGTTGATTTATGAGGAGAGGGGTGAACATCTCCTCTGCTAAGGACAAAGGGAAGGTTCAGCAGCAACCAGCTGAAGTGGCCTTCTTCCAAAAGTGGGTGTCCAAATGTTTCCTGAAAAATAAGGATGGTCAAACCTATCTTGGAAAACAGGAGTACTCTGCCTGTCTCTCTTCTCCTACCACAGAAGCAGCACTCGTTTCCTTCAAACCTCAGAGAGGGACCAAAACTCCTTTTGTTCCCTTCTGAACTGTGATCCTCCTATCAATACATGGTAATTCATTTAATTTTCTAGAAACTTTGGATAGAAAAAGCATTCCAAGGACAAAATAAGTACTTTGGCTTCCACCTTGACTCAGTGGTGGAATTTCAGAGAGAAAAGCAAGACAGTGGCAGGGAGCTTGACCATGAAGAGGTGGGGAAAGTGGGAGGGCCAAAGCCCCGGCCAGGCATCTCAGTCTGTGTTCTGTTAATTCACTCCTCATGCCTTTTTTCACCGTTTCTGCTGCCGTCTGAGCAGAACAGACAGACTGGGCAGGATAATGGTTGCATATTTTTGCTTTTGCAACAGCTGGAGATGTGGACCCTGTTCAACCTGTGAGAGGGAGGAGACTTACCCCACCATCCATTACCATTCACCTTGGCCTGAAGCTTTCTGAAGGAGAACATCACCTCTGTCCGTGGAGACTCTTCACACCATGTCAACCTGGAGAGCCACCAAGGACTCTCTTCAGCAGAAGATCTTGCTCCATGTGCTGAGTTCAATGCTAAGAGTGATGGAAGGGACAGCACTAGCACCCCGCACACATAGGCACACATGCACTTGGCCTCTGCCTGCCTTGCAGTGATGCACTCTTCTCCCTTTCATGTGGCGCTGTGGACTTGCCCGTGCCTTTAGCAATGTGGGCACACAGCCCTTCCCTCTGCCTTGGGCTACCACCCTCCCCTGGACGAGGATCAGAGACATGTTTCCCTTTTGAGTCATTTCATTGCAGGGTGAGTGGTGCTGGGGCTCTGGCTTCATACAAAGCACATGAACAAATTAGAAGTCTTCCATGTTAAGAAGACCGGCAGCTGTATGCACATGCAGTGTTAGCATAGGTACTTTCCCAGTGATCAATACAGATCAACAAGGGCGTATCTGAATAACTTTGGGAATTTCATGGCAGGGCAATCCAGTACATGTCCATTCAGAATGAAATGCCTGTGAGTTCAA